GTGGGTTCACAGACTACCGTGGACAAGAATAGGGATGGAAAGATCTCATTTATAGTCAACCTGGTCTCAGTGCATTTTGTATTATTCTTTACGTCAGAATTCGCAAAGCATACAATATGTTACGATTTGCTATGCTTATGATATGTTTTACGAATTTACATTTGTTGTGGCTAACATTAGCTAGGTAGCTAATGCTAACATTAGCTAGCTGGCTAAAGTTAGCTAGGCTAGGAGTTAGGTTAAAGGGTTAGGTTCAGGGGAAGGGTTAGCTAAAAGGGTTAAGGTTAGGGGAAGGGTTAGCTAAAATGCTAAGTAGTTGCAAAGTAGCTAAAAAGTAGTAAGTAGTTGATAATGAGCTAAAATGCTAAAGTTGTCTGTGATGAGATTCGAACACGCAACCTTTGGGTTGCTAGACGTTCACGATAATTAGTTAAAATGCTAAAGTTGTCCATGATGAGATTCGAACACGCAACCTTTGGGTTACTAGATGTTCGCGTTATACGCCTACCCATCCACCCAGACTAACCACCCTTCTTTCATTTTTGTCTTAAGTAACCTTCTGTATTTTGTAACCATACCAAATGTAACATCATACTAATTTCAGTGTCCCGGATTTACATTTACTATAATACGTCTAGTCTATGAGACCAGGCTGTTATGGTAAAAGCATTGCACGAATCTATCATCATATTTGCAGGTCCCAAAAAAATAGCCTTTAATAAAAATGTCATGCAATTCTACGTCATTGTACATATTCGCAGAATCTTTTCTAATACTACACAAATTACTGAAATTACAGGCTGAATGGACAGAGAGATAGGCCTATGTGTTCATCTTATCATATTTTTTTAATGCCAAATCCGTGTGTCTTGTTTGCAACGAAACTGTCCCTGTTTACAAATATTTAAATCTGAGACATCATTAGGAATCTGAGCATGGTACTTTCAAAGGTTAGGCCTACCTTTCCACCCTAGACAGAGCAGGCCTACAGACACAGAAAAATGCTTTAACTGCTGGCTATTTTTCTTCCATGGCTTAACCCAACGAGAGAAGGTCACAGGTGTTTCCCTAAAAGCTACCTGGGTTTAAACATATTCTATTGTACAGAATTAGATTACTTCCCAAGCAAAGTACATTTTTGTCTCCTCGACTAGGCCTATTTCAGCACGCTTATAGGGAAGGACATTCAACAAGCACAGCACTTACACAGAAAACTGATGATTGGATTTGAGAAATTGATGATACAAAGATTGTGGGGGCTGTTTTGTTAGACTTCAGTGCGGCTTTTGACATTATCAATCATAGTCTACTGCTGGAAAATGTGTTATGGCTTTACACCCCCTGCTATATTGTGGATAAAGAGTTACCTGTCTAACAGAACACAGAGGGTGTTCTTTAATGGAAGCCTCTCCAACATAATCCAGGTAAAATCAGGAATTCCCCAGGGCAGCTGTCTAGGCTCCTTACTTATTTCAATCTTTACTAATGGCATGCCACTGGCTTTGAGTAAAGCCAGTTTGTCTATGTAGGCGGATGACTCAACACTATACACGTCAGCTACTACAGCAACTGAAATGACTGCAACACTTAACAAAGAGCTGCAGTTAGTTTCAGAATGGGTGGCAAGGAATAAGTTAGTCCTAAATATTTCAAAAACTAAAAGCATTGTATTTGAGACAAATCATTCACTAAACCCTAAACCTCAACTAAATCTTGTAATAAATAATGTGGAAATTGAGCAAGTTGAGGTGACTAAACTGCTTGGAGTAACCCTGGATTGTAAACTGCAATAGTCAAAATATATTGATACAACAGTTGCTAAAAATGGGGAGAAGTCTGTCCATAATAAAGCGCTGCCCTACCTTCTTAACAGCACTATCAACAAGGCAGATCCCACAGGCTCTATTTTGTTGCACCTGGACTACTGTTCAGTCATGTGGTCAGGTGCCACAAAGAGGGACTTAGGAAAATTGCAATTGGCTCAGAACAGGGCAGCACGGCTTGCCCTTGGATGTACACAGAGAGCAAACATTAATAATATGCATGTCAATCTCTCCTGGCTCAAAGTGGAGGAGAGATTGACTTCATCACTACTTGTATTTGTGAGAGGTATTCGACATGTTGAAAGCACCGAGCTGTCTGTTTTAAATGACTAGAACACAGCTCAGACACCCATGCATACCCCACAAGACATGCCACCAGAGGTCTCTTCACAGTCCCCAAGTCCAGAACAGACTATGGGAGGTGCACAGTACTCCATACACCTTATGGAACAGCGGGGACTGTGAAGCAACACAAACATAGGCGCAGACACATGCATACACACACATGAAAACATACGCACTATACACACACGTACACATGGATTTTGTGTTGTAGATATGTGGTAGGGGAGTAGGGGCCTGAGGGCACACACTTAGTGTGTTGTGAAAGCTGTTATGAATGTATTGTAATGTTTTTTTAAATTGTATAACTGCCTTAATTTTGCCGGATCCCAGGATCCATAATAAATACAAATACAAATAGAAGGTTGTAGCTCAGCTTCAATGTCAAAAGACACGAAAACAATGTGCATCGGCGTTACGTCTTTCCGGGTGTTTTACAGCTTGTTTCTAGCATAAAGCATCGCGGACCAAAGCGCTGTTATAAATGACTTTATATAATCCGATCCTTTTTATTTTCTTTAACATCTTAAACTAACAAGAGGTAGGCCTGTGCTTTTTGCCATTTACTTTAATAAAAGGTAGGCCTATGTCATACCCTCTTATACCTCCTCAATTAGAGTCTTGGTTTTAACTTAACAGCCCTTCACTGACACCGGAGGTAGGCTATTTATAGAGTTCATGGTGGGTGAAAGAATTGACCGACAAATCTATGGATATAGCAGCCTAGCCTAATTTCATCTGTCAATCAGGGACTCCTACCTAATTATTTCTTAAATAGGAAGAAATAGGCTCCAACACAAGGCCCTGTTGTTGTTAGTAAAGTCTAATTAAAATGGAGACTGTTGAAATGAATTATGCCTAATTGAATTTGCCTACTTTCAGCACCATGAGCTGTCCATTTCCGATTGATTTTGCCGCGGCTGCTGCTTCAAGTTTCAGCACCACAATGTAAGTTATTGTGAGGCTTTTTGTGAGGTCAATAAGTCTGATAAATACATAATGGACAAAAAAACATATTGTTTTTAATCAAATCAATTATAGTAGTAGCAAGCTATCAAAGTTGACCTCGGTTCCTCCTTCTCATATTCGCCCTCTCCTTCTTAAACTAAATAGAACATAGGCTATAGGCTAGTTTGCGCGCAATCAAAAAGTATTTTCGGAAGAAGCCTTTGACTCTCCTGAACTGCCACCATAGGCCTACACAGCACAGTCATTGGTTAGTCAGCACACAAAAAAGTTTTTTGATCAGCTAGAGCAGAGCAGGCCGGGGCTCAGGGTTGGAATATCCATTGCAGTGTGTAATGCAGCCTAGTTTTATTTACCCCATCCCAGCAGCTATCTTAGAAATATAACTTTGCTCTGTGCTTCTCAGAGCATGCACTTCGTAGCCTGTAGCCTAAAGGCTATGGATCATTTGATTGAGACCACACTAAATAGCCTATAGGCACACTTGATATTGCGCGCCCAGCGGAGAATCAGAGATGAGGGGAGGTATCGGGCACACATCGCTATATAGCCTAATAAGCAACTAATTCTAAAACACTGAGAAATATAGAAATTTCATCAATTACAAATTACATGACCCTCCCCTGAACTAGATTTTAAAATACTAAACCCTCCCCTTGACTCCCCATTTTCCTCTCCCATATCGCTCTCATATATATCTCTCTCTCATATATCTCTCTCTCTCTCTCTCTCTCTCTCTTTCTCATACCTCTCTCTCACATCTCATCTGCTTTTGTTAGAGTGTCTTCTTGCCTCAAGGGTATCCAGAGAGTGTCAGTGGCGATTACCTGCAGTATCAATTTTGGGATACCCTGCAGGTAGGTCTGTGTGAGAAAGAGAGAGTATGTTGTTGTTTTGTGGATATGTGTGCCATTATTTAGAAATGTCACATTTATTATGTACACTACCTGTCAAAAGTTTGGACACACCTACTCATTCAAGGGTTTTTCTTTATTTTTACTATTTTTTACATTGTAGAATAAAAGTGAAGACATTAAAACTATGCAATAACACATATGGAATCATGTAGTAAACAAAGAAGTGTTTAACAAATCAAAGTCTATTTTATATTTGAGAATCTTCAAATAGCCACCCTTCGCCTTGATGACAGCTTTGCACACTCTTGGCATTCTCTCAACCAGCTTCACCTGGAATGCTTTTCCAACAGTCTTGAAGGAGTTCCCACATATGCTGAGCACTTGTTGGCTGCTTTTCCTTCACTCTGCGGTCCGACTCATCCCAAACCATCTCAATTGGGTTGAGGTCGGGGGATTGTGGAGGCCAGGTCATCTGATGCAGCACTCCATCACTCTCCTTCTTGGTAAAATAGCCCTTACACAGCCTGGAGGTGTGTTGGCTCATTGTCCTGTTGAAAAACAAATAATAGTCCCACTAAGCCCAAACCAGATGGGATGGCGTATCGCTGTAGAATGCTGTGGTAGCCATGCTGGTTAAGTGTGCCTTGAATTCTAAATAAATCACAGACAGTGTCACCAGCAAAGCACCCCCACACCATAACACCTCCTCCTCCATGCTACACATGCGGAGATCATCCGTTCACCCACACCGCGTCTCACAAAGACACAGCGGTTGGAAACAAAAATCTCCAATTTGGACTCCAGAACAAAGCAGGTCTCTTCTTCATATTGGTGTCCTTTAGTAGTGGTTTCTTTGCAGCAATTCGACCATGAAGGCCTGATTCACACAGTCCCCTCTGAACAGTTGATGTTGAGGTGTGTCTGTTACTTGAACTCTGTGAAGCATTTATTTGGGCTGCAATTTCTGAGGCTGGTAACTCTAATGAACTTATCCTCTGCAGCAGAGTTAACCCTGGGTCTTCCATTCCTGTCCTCATGAGAGCCAGTTTCATCATAGCACTTGATGGTTTTTGCGACTGCACTTGAAGAAACGTTCAAAGTTCTTGAAATGTTCCATATTGACTGACCTTCATGTCTTAAAGTAATGATGGACTGTCGTTTCTCTTTGCTTATTTGAGCTGTTCTTGCCATAATATGGACTTTGTATTTTACCAAATAGGGCTATCTTCTGTATACCCCCCCTACCTTGTCACAACACAACTGATTGGCTGAAACGCATTAAGAAGGAAAGAAATTCCACAAATTAACTTTTAAGAAGGCACACCTGTTAATTGAAATGCATTCCCGGTGACTACCTCATGAAGCTGGTTGAGAGAATGCCAAGAGTGTGCAAATCTATCATCAAGGTAAAGGGTGGCTATTTGAAGAATCTCAAATATAAAATATATTTTGATTTGTTTAACACTTTTTTGGTAACTACATGATTCCATATGTGTTATTTCATAGTTTTGATGTCTTCACCATTATTCTACAATGTAGAACATAGTAAAAATAAAGAAAAACCCTGGAATGAGTAGGTGTGTCCAAACTTTTGATTGGTTCTGTACATTTTAACTCTCTCTCTCGCTTTCTCTCTGACACACACACACACACACACACACACAGGCCTTCTTCAGTTCTCTTTCAGGTACTCTTGCCACCCAGGCCTCATTAAGGGGTGTTGGTGTTGGAAATCAAGAGGCAACAGTTGCTGCTGCAACAATTACCTGGTTGTTACGAGGTTAGTGTTAATGACTGTGATAAGACCATTGTCTACTTTCCTGTTAAGTGGTTTTATTTATTTTTAATCTACTTTTTTAGATGGCACAGGCATGCTGGGAAGAATCTTCTTTGCTTGGCTTAAAGGGTGAGTTTGGATTTGTTTTGTAATCTTCTACTATTATTACATTTCAATATTATTTTTCACATTTCGTCTCTCTGTGTTTTAGGAATAAACTGGACTCTGAGGCCAAAAAATGGAGGTAGGGATGTCAAGCATCAATAGTGGGTTCGTTCATTGGGTGTTATGGAATTATTGAGGATGTCAAGGCTTGTGCTGTTTTCCTTAGGCTTGTCGCTGATGTTCTCAATGATATCGCCATGTTCATGGAAATACTGGCTCCTAACTTCCCAACATGCTTCACTCTAATTGTGTGCTCTGCAGGAATATTCAAGGTAAACCTGAATACCATACTCTCTCTAGCATTGATTTTGCAGATAGCAACCAGCTATTTTGAAGGTTTTACTTGCTATGTTCCTAATATGTGGTTGTTTTACCTACTTTGGTTGAATGGACTGATTGTAATTCGCTCTTAATAAGAGCGTCTGCTAAATGTAAATGTACACTGTTCGATATCTCTCTCTTTCTGTGTTTGTCAGTCCATTGTCGGGGTTGCAGGTGGGGCCACCAGAGCTGCTTTGACTGTTCACCAAGCTCGCAGAGACAACATGGCGGACATCTCTGCCAAAGACGGCAGCCAGGTGCTCCATACATATTTCTCTACCTGATGATACAGTAAGATACTGTAACTAACCCATGGCTTTTACTGTTCTGTCTTGTACTGCTGCTTTAAGATTATGATCTTATTGTGATGCATGTGTTCTTTGCAGGAGACTTTAGTGAATCTGGCTGGACTGCTGGTCAGTCTGATCCTTATTCCTCTGGTCACTGACAATCGACTGTGAGTCATCTATTGCACTGCTTACACTGCCACTGTATGAGATAGGACATGACAAGACAGCTAACCTATTGGTTATTCAATGGAGATCGATCTGTTTTCCATCCCTTCTCCTCAGGCTGACGTTCGTCCTCTTCTTCCTTTTCACCATCCTCCACCTTTTTGCAAATTACAAAGCAGTGCGTTCGGTTGTCATGGAGACACTCAACGAGGCTCGGCTTGCCATTGTGCTCCACCAATACCTGAGAGATGGACTGGTCCTCGGTCCACTAGAGGCCAATCATAAAGAGCCTGTATTCTTGGGTATGGCTGACATTCAGTGAATAATAAACAATGAAATGGCTTGTTGATCATTATGGCTATCAACTGTCCTTCTGCATTGCTTGCTGTTTGGGGTTTTAGGCTGGGTTTCTGTATAGCACTTTGTGACATCTGCTGATGTAAAAAGGGCTTTATAAATACATTTGATTGATTGATTGATCAACTATCAATGGCTTTAACATGCTTTTCTGATGGTTTTTTGTTTGTTTGTTTTTTTAGAGTTCAGGAGGACAGTTCCAATAAAACTGGGAGTGAGGCTAGGGGAATTTGTTCATACGTAAGTTGGTGTCTGCCTGTCTGGTGTCTTGAAAGTGAAGTGTGCTCAGATTTGGATGTTCATTCTCAATGATATACAGTACCAGTCAAAAGTTTGGACACGCCTACTCATTCCAGGGTTTTTCTTTATTTTTACTATTTTCTACATTGTTTAATAATAGTGAAGACAACTATGAAATAACACATATGGAATCATGTAGTAACCAAAAAAGTGTTAAACAAATCAAAATATATTTTAGATTCTTCAAAGTAGCCACTCTTTGCTTTGATGATAGCTTTGCACACTCTTGGCATTCTCTCAACCAGCTTCATGAGGTAGTCACCTGGAATGCATTTCAATTAACAGGTGTGCCTTGTTAAATTTGTGGAATTTCTTTCCTTCTTAAAACATTTGAGCCAATCAGTTGTGTTGTGACAAGGTAGGGGTGGTATACAGAAGATAGCCCTATTTGGTAAAATACCATGTCCATATTATGGCAAGAACAGCTCAAATAAGCAAAGAGAAACGACAGTCCATCATTACTTTAAGACATGAAGGTCAGTCAATATGGAAAATGTCAAGAACTTTTAAAGTTTCTTCAAGTGCAGTCGCAAAAACCATCAAGCGCTATGATGAAACTGGCTCTCATGAGGACCGCCACAGGAAAGGAAGACCCAGAGTTACCTCTGCTGCAGAGGATAAGTTAGAGTTACCAGCCTCAGAAATTACAGCCCAATTGAATGATTCACAGAGTTCAAGTAACAGACACATCTCAACATCAACTGTTCAGAGGAGACTGCATGAATCAGGCCTTCATGGTCGAATTGCTGCAAAGAAACCACTACTAGACGCAGAGTAGGTGAACGGATGATCTCCGATATGTGTGGTTCCCACCGTGAAGCATGGAGGAGGAGGTGTGATGGTGTGGGGTTGCTTTGCTGGTGACACTGTCAGTGATTTATTTAGAATTCAAGGCACACTTAACCAGCATGGCTGCCACAGCATTCTGCAGCGATACGCCATCCCATCTGGTTTGCGCTTAGTGGGACTATCATTTGTTTTTCAACAGGACAATGACCCAAAACACACCTCCAGGCTGTGAAAGGGCTATTTGACCAAGAAGGAGAGTGATGGTGTGCTGCATCAGATGACCTGGCCTCCACAATCACCCAACCTCAACCCAATTGAGATGGTTTGGGATGAGTTGGACTCAGCAACTCCTTCAAGACCATTGGAAAACATTCCTCATGAAGCTGGTTGAGAGAATGCCAAGAGTGTGCAAAGCTGTCGTCAACACTTTTTTGGTTACTACATGATTCCATGTGTTATTTCATAGTTCTGATGTCTTCACTATTATTCTACAATGTAGAAAATAGTAAAAAATAAAGAAAAAACCTGGAATTAGTAGGTGTGTCCAAACTTTTGACTGGTACTGTAATTCCTTTCATTTTGTAGGTCAGAGGACCTTCATTTGGCCATGAAAAACAACCACAAGCCCTACCTTATCGGAGTCAAACGTGGTGTGTATAACATCTTTCAGTAATCCCCCCACCAACCATCAACCCAGTTGTGACGTGGGTTGTCATTTTAATAGATGGTGTATGTCATGTGAGTGTTATTGAATGTGCGGTTTCTCTCCCTTAGGCTCTGTGTGTGTGTGTTTGGGACCAGATGCATCTGTATGTGATGAGATCAGGGCTGTGTGCCAAGCTGTGTGCCTCTGCACTGTGTTACACCCTGTCTCGCCACTGGAGGGGGCTCTCAAACAACTCTCAATGTCACACAGCAACAGTGAGCCTTTACTGATCATCTTTACATGACAGTTTAAACCAATGTCTTTGTCAGTGCTGTGTTAACTCTTTCAGTGCTGCTATCCCTTTTTCGTTTCCCTCAAGATCATTGGGAGCTGGTGCATGAGAGTCATAAGCTTATGGACCACATTTTTCAGCCATTCCTCAAAGGTAAGCTCAGTGTAACATGGTGTGCTCAGTCAGTAGCTGTTTACTCCCACGTCTATGTTGGGATGTTGTCAGTGGCGTCCATTCAGCTCAACCTAGGGTATGCCCCTCCCCTTCCCCTCAATGAATTGTTTGGTAGTTGAAGCTCATTTACTGCCTCTTTACACAATTTAAAAACTCTCAAATGCTATTTAAAAATAAAAAGGACCCCAGCCATTAATTATCACCGCAATATCGGGTTTAAAGCTCTGTGGAATGGTGTGTAAAATGTCAACCACTACTTAACCTCATAAATTGACTAATTTACTTGTGAAACAGCACGTACAGTGAAAATGAAAGATGCATAATACACGCTATCAAGTTACAACAAGCCCGACTTCAAATGCCGATATCAATGTGAAAGGAACTGGTGCATAAAACAGCTGACCGCGAATGCAAACTATGCCAGATAAATCATACACATGCATTGAAATAGAAGGCATAGCCCTACATAAAGGACTTACTTAGGCCTAACATCGACAAGGACGCATGAAGACAAACTCGACCAAAGAATGTAAAAAATCACGAAATACAAATGGAAAATCTACACGCCTTTTTAAAGGGAGCTATGGCCACTTTACATGTCACCTTCGCAAACCGTAGAGATAGATAGGACTCATCTTTATCTGTGCCATTATAGTGTCTATGAGAGGACGGGCAACACCATTGAGGCAGTCTCCATTTTGAAGGAGTACATTTTCTTCACGATTGGCTGATCCCTCCTGATGACCCGGTTAGACATGACTCGAACAGGGTTACCAGGAGAGCTCAGCCAATGAAGTTGGTGGAAGCCCTCAATGGCGCTGCCCATGCTAAAACAGCCTTTTGGCCACTAGAGGCCTCTATCATTCTCTATGTGTCAAACCTATGTATTCCCAGTAGTTACATTTTCTCTGTGTGCGCCAAGCTCATTTTAGAATTTCTGCATTATTCGCCATGGAAGGAAAACATTCTACGAATATTGAAGCATTTTATCAACAAGTGGCTCTAAGAGTATTTAAACATTGTGTTAAACTGTTCGCTGCTCTGGCACCCCAATAGTGGAACAAGCTCCCTCACGACGCCAGGACAGCGGAGTCACTCACCACCTTCCGGAGACACTTGAAACCCCACCTCTTTAAGGAATACCTGGGATAGGATAAAGTAATTCTACCCCCCCTTACCCCACCCCCAAAAAATAAAAATATATATATTGTAAAGTGGTTATCCCACTGGCTATAAGGTGAATGCACCAATTTGTAAGTCGCTCTGGATAAGAGCGTCTTCTAAATGACGTAAATTTAAATTTAATGTTAATGAACGAGGCGGCTCCGAGAATATTGATATAGTAACCAACGAAGGGGCGGCTCGCGCAATTTTTTCTCTGGGCCAGCTTCTCTCTGTCTGATATTAATGTGTTGCCTACACAGAAGTTGCACTATCTGGGTGCTCATTATATATAAGTGCTACATCCACACTATAGCTAAATAACTTAGTAATATTCAATGTTTTGCAAGCAAGATTGTTAGATTCTCATTTTAATTCAGGAAGATTGACAAGCAAGACTGATAGAGTGAGTGGTGGAAAATGCATTATACCAGAGGCAGGTAGGCTACAGGTAGGGATTAGGGATGCAGACAGACGATGATGATGATAATGAAGTAGGCCTACAGCAAGAAGTTGAAAAAAGTTAGCCCAACTAAGTAACCATGAATGATTTGCATTCTCAATTATCATTCTGTCACTGCATGCCAATGCACATTTGTTATAGCCTACAATTGTTAGTCTTTAAAACCCAAAACAGGACATATATTTAGCAAGTTGTTCAGTTTGAAAGCGAACTTGCACTAGCCAACTGGGTGAATGAATGGAAATATCAATTAGGCCTACAGCTTTCACAACCCATATTTTAATAGCAATAAATGCTTTTGGTTTCGAATGGTCACCAAAAAGGACGGCTCCCCCACCTCCCAATTCAATTATCTCCTGGCTATCAGATTACAACAAGGCTTACAAGGCCGACAGTTAAAATGCCGACATCAAATTCTAAGCAATTAGCGCACTGCCTAAACGGCTGACCGGCAAAGCAAATTGGAACTGTCCATGCTTTCTAAAAGTGAGCGAAAAGACCGCCGAAGATAGTGAATAAATAATATAGTTTACACAGGCCGTTTACCATTGAAAGAAAATGGTCACGGTTCCTGTCTGTTTAAGTGGCAGTTTCCTCTCTCGCGTGAGCAGGCTTTTCCCATGTGAGCTCACGGTTCCTCCATAATATCTGGCATGCTCACGCAAGAGAAGGAACAGCTCTCTCTGGTCTACTTATTGTGCGCTCCCGCCCCGGCGGGGGCAATAAGTAGATCAGAGTGGTCCCGATCAGAAAACATTTGGGAGTGGAGTGTCTCGCTTTCTCTACTCTCTCTGAGGCCGCAGGCTGGCAGTCGTTCTCCGAGCGATGCTCCACAAGGTCCTAAAGCCAGCCTGAATATGCTAAACAGCTGTTGCATTTTAAATCGGGATTGGAATGATTTGAGTCTACTTTACATTTTTGGTCTTGAGCGCCATACCCAACTGACGCCCCTGGATGTTGACACACTGGTCAGTCACCATTGTTTGTTCTTCATCTCTTCTAGCTCTGGAGGTAGCTGGATGGCAGACCAGTCGAACCCTACTGGACTGGAATGAATGGAGGGTGGAGTGGAAGAAGAAGAGCAGTTAGTGGAGAGAGGCAGGGTCTCTGGAGAGCAGCAACTGCAAGGCAATAGGCTGAGCTCTCTGTCGAACATTAATTGTGAGATGCTCAAAGATGAATATGCTCAGATTCATTTAAAGGTTTATGTCCTTTTTTGGTACATTTTATACAAACTTCAGAATAAACTTGACCATAACTTTAACCATCATTTATGTCCAGTGTGATATTACCAGCCCCTGAAAGTAAGCCTCTGACTAACCGGATACATCATCCAGTGATAGCCAGCTAGCTAGTCACAGTCTGACATAGTGCAATACAATAATTGTTTGGAAAGGGTTCTCTCAGGACCTCTGGAATATTGAATAAAATTACATTTGAACTTACTCTGCCGATTGTCTGGGGGATTGGTCCTTTTGAGACAAAATATTAAAAGGAATGTACTGTATTATTAAATAGACTTTCCAAATGTGGGTCCCACTTCTTCTCTGCTTACCTCATGTCAAAATAAAAGTCAGCGACAAGTGATCGCTTCCCACCGGGCACACCATGTCATTTCCACGTGGATAATTGGGTAATATTTGGTTGAGATGTTGATCAATGAGATTCCAACCCATATTCACCCACTCAAAAAGACAGCCAAATGATAACCATTTAAAATCACAGCATGTTTTTAGAAATATCTCATTTAGATAATTATTCACACCCCTGAGTCAATACTTTGTAGAAGCACCTTTGGCGTCGATTACAGTTTTGAGTCGTCTTGGGTATGTCTGTATCAACGTTGCACATCTGGATTTGGGGATTTTCTCCAATTTTTCTTTGCAGATTTTCTCAAGCTCTGTTAAGTTAGATGGGGAATGGCGGTGAACAGCAATCTTCAAGTCTTTCAACAAATTTTAATGTGATTCAAGACTGGGCTTTGGCTGGGCCACTCAAGGACTTTCACATTCTTGTTCTGAAGCCATTCCAGCGTTGCTTTGGCTGTATGCTTGGGGTCATTGTCCTGTTGAAACGTACATTTTCGCCCAAGTCTAAGGTCGTTTGCACTCTGAAGCAAGTTCTTATCAAGGATTTGCCTGTATTTGGCTCCATTCATTGTTCCCTTTATTCTTACCAGTCTCCCAGTCCTTGCCGCTGAAAAGCATCCCCATAGCATGATGCTGCCACAACCGTGCTTCACGGTAGGGATGGTGATTAGGGCCAAGTGCCTTGCTCAAGGGCACATTTACGTCATTTAGCAGACGCTCTAGTCCAGAGCGACTCACAAATTGATGCATTCACCCTATAGCCAGTGGGATAACCACTTTACAATTTTTTTTGGGGGGGGGGGGGGGTAGAAGGATTACTTTATCCTATCCCAGGTATTCCTTAAAGAGGTGGGGTTTCAAATGTCTCCGGAAGGTGGTGAGTGACTCCGCTGTCCTGGCGTCGTGAGGGAGCTTGTTCCACCATTGGGGTGCCAGAGCAGCGAACAGTTTTGACTGGGCTGAGCGGGAACTATGCTTCCGCAGAGGAAGGGGAGCCAGCAGGCCAGAGGTGGATGAACGCAATGCCCTCGTTTGGGTGTAGGGACTGATCAGAGCCCGAAGGTACAGAGGTGCCGTTCCCCTCGCTGCTCCAAAGGCAAGCACCATGGTCTTGTAACGGATGCGAGCTTCAACTGGAAGCCAGTGGAGTGTGCGGAGGAGGGGGGTGACGTGAGAGAACTTGGGAAGGTTGAACACCAGACGGGCTGCGGCATTCTGGATGAGTTGTAGGGGATTAATGGCACATGCAGGGAGGCCAGCCAACAGCGAGTTGCAGTAATCCAGACGGGAGATGACAAGTGCCTGGATTAGGACCTGTGCCGCTTCCTGTGTGAGGCAGGGTCGTACTCTCCGAATGTTGTAGAGCATGAACCTGCAGGAGCGGGTCACCGCCTTGATGTTAGCGGAGAACGACAGGGTGTTGTCCAGGGTCACGCCAAGGCTCTTCGCACTCTGGGAGGAGGACACAACGGAGTTGTCAACCGTGATGGCGAGATCATGGAACGGGCAGTCCTTCCCCGGGAGGAAGAGCAGCTCCGTCTTGCCAGGGTTCAGCTTGAGGTGGTGATCCGTCATCCATACTGATATGTCTGCCAGACATGCAGAGATGCGATTCGCCACCTGGTTATCAGAAGGGGGAAAGGAGAAGATTAGTTGTGTATCGTCAGTAGACAGTTGATGGGCTGTGCCTGGTTTTGTCCAGACGTAGTGCTTTGAATTCAGGCCAAATAGTTAAATTTTTGTCTTTCACATGCCTTTTTGCAAACTCCAGGCGTGCTGTCATGTGCCTTTTTCTCAGGAGTGATTTCCATCTGGCCATTCTCCTATAAAACCCAGATTGGTGAAGTGCTGTAGAGACTGTTGTTCTTCCATCTCAGCAAAGGAAATCTGTTAGTTCTGTCATTGGGTTCTTGGTCACCTCCCTGACCAAGGTCCTTCTTGCCCAGTTGCTCAGTTTGGTCCGACGGCCAGCTCTACACAGAGTTTGGGTAGTTCCATATTTTTTCAATTTTCCAATGATGGAGACCACTGTGCTCATGGAAACTTTCAACACTAGAAATAGTTTTATAGCCATCCCCAGATATATGCCTCATCACAATTCTATCTCGGCGCTCAACGGACAGTTCCTTGGACTTCATGGTATAGTTTCTGCTCTGACATGCACTGTCAACTGCAGGTAGCTTAGTGGGTAAGAGCGTTGTGCCAGTAACCAACAAGGTCGCTGGTTCTAATCCCCGAGCCGACCTAGTGAAAAATTCTGATCGATGTGCCCTTAAGCCAAGGCACTTAAACCCTAATTGCTCCTGTAAGTCGCTCTGGATAGGCGTCTGCTAAACTGACTAAAATGTAAATGGAACTTATATAGACAGGTGTGTTTCTAAGTCCACAGGTGGACTCCAATCAAGTTGTAGTGACGTTTCAAGGATGATCAAAGGATATTGGATTCACCTGAGCTCAATTTGGAGTGTCATAGCAAAGTGGTGTGAATACTTATGTAAATAAGACATTTCTGTATTTCATTTTCAATAAATGTACAAACATTTCTAAAAACATGTTTTCACTTTGTCATTATGGGGTATTGTGTGTAGATGGGTGAGAGAAAAAAAGCAACTTTATCCATTTTGAATTCAGGCTGTAACACAACAAAACGTGGAATAAGTCAAGGGGTATGAATACTTTCCGAAGGCACTATATGCATGCTATCTTGAACATGCATGGTTTATATGATTACATAAGAAGAAATGTATAGTTACAGTAACCTTAATGTGGCCACGGATGTGCTGTTACTCATTTTAAGGTTGAACGTTACATTAGTTTGTAAGAGCCTTAATTTAAGGCTATTTACTTTATTACAAAATTAATATTGAATTGTGTTTGGTTGACAACACAACCAAATATCAACATTTAAAGGAGATTTATCTACTGATTGGATAGTTCCATCTGAACCACTGGCTTAATCACATTATTTTACTTTTTTGGGGGGGTGAGTTGGAGACAAGAATCTAACATAATTTGTTAACTTGTCGACAAGTTAATAGGCTATCTATTGTATTTCAAAAGTTATATTGTGTTTGGTTGTCAATGCAACCAAATATCAACATTTGAAGGAGGTGTATATTCTGGTTGGATAGTTCCATCTGTGCCACTGACTTAGTCTGGCTTTAATTCCAGTTTGTCTACAAATTAATAATTGATATGTTGGTTTCACATCTCCATCTCAACCAAAATAAACCACTTTAAATAAAAGTTTGATTTGATTTAGTCCTATTCTTTAACTTTGATTTTTGGTTGAGATGGAGATGTGAATCCAACATAAATTATTAATTTATAGACAAACTGGAATTAAAGCCAGACTACGTCAGTGGCACAGATGGAACTATCCAAGCGGAAGATACATCTCCTTTAAATGTTGATATTTGGTTGCGTTGACAACAAAACACAATTCAATATCACTTAATATCATTACATTTTAAATCAACCAGAGCTTGAAACCCTAGGTCTATTGTATTGTCTATTTTTTGTTGAATTTAAAAAATAGCTGTTGATGACTTTGCATATGCTATATAGGCCTAAATGGCATCATTGATGATGTATGAGTAATACCCTTTGGAATGACTTCGATAGCAACAGTGAATCTATTTAGTTTTTAACAATCATTCTCACGATAGCACATTGGTAATAGTCAGTGACAAATATAGCTAAGCAGGGCATGGCTAATATCCATTATTTTTCTGATAATGGATATAACGTTGAAGATCTGATGTTGTTTAAAAGCTACAAATTCAACATATTTTATACAAGTTTTGTCCATGTTGAAATTTGGATACCATGATGACATAATCATGTGGTTGAAATTTCACCTCAAAACAACAGTTAATTACTTTTAAAACATATTTTCCACATAGATTCCATGTCACAATACATTGACAAATTACGTTGAAACAACGTTGATTCAATCAGTTCGTGTCCAGTGGGTTGCTTGTGCACATATGGCAAACGTGCAGGACTTTTATTTTGATATAAGGTGAGGTCAAGAGGAAGTGGGTTTACAGCAGACCCACGTTTGGAAAGTCTGTTTAATAATAAGTTCCTTTGGATAGTAGTGCACTGGGCCTTTACTAGTCCTGTATTAATGGACCATATAGCCAATTCGGAGTGCAGCTGCACGCGACCAGATTGTAATGCCCATGGTAAATTTGGTTTGACATTCGATATCCGTATGGTGCTAGTTAGTGACCATGAGTAAATTGCACAATGTACATTGGACAATATTTTAAAAGGTAATTAGCTCCAAATTTCAATTACTTAACAACCTCAAACCAACTATAAATTGTAGAAATCCATTTACAAATATTGAAAGCATTTAATGAGACAACTAAAAGATGTGAAACATGAAAATATTGTTCCATTTACATTGTGTAATTTATTGAGGGTCCCTAACTATCCCCCAGAGATAGGCTATCCAAAGTCAAACTAACACCAGCCGGCTGAAGCTAATTGCCAATTTGAAGCTAATTGCCTAAATAATTTGGCTAACTCTTCCCACCTGTGAACACACACAAGAGACACCCACATCACATCAAACCACACCCCGAAACCAACTCACGTTTGAATTCAGTCATGGACGCTAGCATTTCTTAATGAATCAAATCAAAGATTATGGATATGCATAGCCATCTCGAGACAACTCTGATATAAAGTGTTATTACTCAAAGTTGCCAGGATGTCACGTGTCCTTCTTATATCAGTACACTCATAACAACTTAAGCATTACAAAAACGTATATTAGATCAAATAAACCTCACATAGCAAATCAGCCATTCATTTTTTTGTTGACCAAATTTTACACTCTCATTGACCCCCATACATAAACTCCTTGCTTGATGGGCTAAAAAACGAAAAAACGCCACCTGCCGGAGGGAGACAGATTTTCTGCCGAGTTGGGCCTCTTTCTTGCTCTTCCTCTCTGACCAAATCTAAAACTAGGCCAAATCAGGAAGTTCAGTCACCCTTTAAGGTAATG